TTATTTTGCACACTATACATCGAGTTCTGTGAACAAAATGTTCTTAAATTCACTCCAAAGATATGATGAAAAAAAATGTGGGTCTAGGTTTTGAATCCACCCAGTTTTAGAGCGGGTACCAGCTTGTCAGGGAAATAAAGGCGGTAGGTGCACAATGCTGATTTTATTTTCACCATCACTCCTCGTTAGTCATAAATCGTAGAGTCTTAATATCGATGACCCTCTAGCTCACAATAGACATTTGGGCAAATTTTTTCTGTATATAAATATTTTAAATAAAATTTCTCTTCGCGGATATTTTATTGCTATACCATAACTAGGTTTGCAATAAAGTAAAATGAACGAGAGGACCCCTAAAGCCAAATTCGAGAAAAAAGTAATATTTGTAAAAAAATTTTGAAGAGTCAATTTTAAACTCCAGATTAAAATTTTTTTAAATTTTATTTATTTTTTAATGAGATTCTTTGAATGAAAAGTTTCTAAAAAATAACTATTACTTATACTTGTGTCGAGAAACCTTTAAAAGAAAGTTTTCGTATTGTACTTTCGCAGACCTTAAAAAACAATCCAAAAATATGGTCTTATGCTCGTTTATTTGCTTTCCCTTAAATGAGGTCCTTTGCAAAATATTTTCTTATTATTTATTAATATTTTCGCTGAAAAGGTTAATATTTGCTTTATTTCGTTTCCTTTGAAAAAGGTTTTCGCTTAATATTTCTGCTAATCTAATCATGACAGCAAACAAAAATGCAAAAAATAAGGTTTACAATTTCCTTGTTTTTTGACCTAAATAACAATATTTTTTAAAAAAGATTTAAAAATCATTTACTTTTCCTTTAAGGAGGGAAGGTAGGAAATTGCAATATTTTTACGTCATTGAAAAAAGGTTTTTACTGCAAACCTTTTCGTGACAATGAAAATAAAGTTAAAACACAAGGTTGTCGTAAGGTTACATGCTTTCTGGGGCTGGAATTCGAACCCGGTTCACCTCATTCGAAGACGAATACTTTGCTGCCTGAGCCATCACGACTTAACAAACCTTTATTTTATAACCATCGTTGAAAAGCCGACCCAATTTTTCGGGTTTACGACTACGAAAGTTCAACTACGTAGCCTAGTAGTTTTGATCCCAATCCAGAAGACAAGGGAACTCCTGGATCAAATATTAGGAGAAATTTGTCTTCGTGGTGGGCTTTTTGATGGTACTAACCCACATTTGCGTTATATAGAAAGGAAGACCGAGAACCTCTCACTGTTAGCTTGATGGTAAGGGGAATCTAACTAATGATCCGTCTACCACTGAGGATATTTCAAGTCAGCATTGCTGTCGGTGCAAGCCGGATGCGGAATTCGTATCGACCAGCTATCGCTGGGATTCGACACCGGCTTACCTCATTGGAAGGTGAACGCACATCCCCTGAGCCATCGCTGTTCACCAACCTTCATTTTATTTTATAACCGTCGTTGAACGGCTGAACCACTTGTAGGATTTACGACTACTAATGTTCAACGCCGAAGCTTTGTGATTTTGAACCCAATACAGAAGTCAAAGGATCTCCTGGATCAAGTATTGTAAGAATTTTGATGGAATTATTTTTGATGGAATTAAGCTGCATTTTCGTTACATGGAGAGAAAAACCATGAGAACCTCCCATGGTTAAAATGACGACTAGAGAACTTTAACCCCATATGATTCGTCTACCACTGATGATATTTCACGTCAGCACTGTGGTCGGTGCAAGCCGGTTGCGGAATTCGTATCGACCTGCCATCGCCGGGATCGAGCCCCGGCTCACCTCATTGGAAGGCGAACGCTCTAGCCCCTGTGCCAACGCAGCTCCCACCAACCTTCATTGGCAATTATTAATAATAACTAATTAAAGTGATTAATATTCATAATTTATCGCATTAACCAAAAAACTTGGTTATTATTAATAATTATCGGCTGTTACTAATAATAGCTATATTTATTACATAGCTATAACAATTTTAACGGTCTATTGGTCAAACGGTTTTAAAAATGCAAAATAATGACTTTTAAAATTCACCAAATAATATTTATACTTTTGTCCCGATAAATCTGAGGATATTTTTCATGTCTAGGATTACTTGACAATTGTTTTAGAAGTATGGAACGGGAAACGGTTTATATTATCAAGAATTTATGAAAAAGCAAGATAATTGAATAAAGGGTATTTTTGTAATTAAAGAAGATATTGTTGCATTTGTTAACAATGGATTCTTCTAATACTAAACTTAATTTCAAAAAATTATTAAATTTAGATTGTTGCTAAATACTTAAACAATTATAATAATGCCTTTTCCTCCTTGGGGCCAAGATAGCTTATTTGGTAGGGAGTGAGTTCGTTCCCCGCTGGCCGATGGCTCTTCGTGAACAAAATGGTGACTGGTACGTGCTACATCTGTTGAGATCATATCCTGATTGGTAGGGCACTGGGTCCATGTCCAAGAGCTCGTGGGTTCGATCCCCGCCGGCCAAAAACTCCCCGTGTTGAAAATGGTGGCTGATGCACGTTAAATCTCCATGTTCCCATAACAAATCAATACCTTTGGGGTTACTGATCCAGGAGGAGTTTCCTTGCTTTCTGGATTGGTTCAAAATTACAAAGCTACGGAGTTGAACATTAGTCGTAAACTCAAAATTCGGTCGGCTGTTCATCGATGAATATAAAATAAAATAAAGTTCCCTTAACAAATCAATACCTCTGGGGAGTACTGGATCGGAGAACATGCACTCTCGGCCACTCAAGATTTTATTTTTTAATTTTCTCTAGGGCAGTAGTTGGGCAAAATTAATGTACCGAAAACGCTTCTTATCAAAACAAGTAAATAAGAAATAACCAAATAGATCAAATTAATGATTTGAGACTTTTATTGTAGTTGTTTAGTTGCTGTGACGCAGAATCCAGCTACATTTTTTAATTGTTCTTTTTTAAATTAATTTTACTATATTAATGGCTACACTGAATGCTTTAAAATCGTGTGGTTTTATCAGCTTCAAATTACAGTTACTGAAGACTTCAACTTATTTACCAAATACTTTGAAATTTGGGCAAAATTATGGCAAACGAGTATGAAACAGTTTTACTGATTCAATTTTAAAGATAGTATAGTGTATATGTCTACAAAGCTAACTTAGTATTTCAATATTATGAAGTATAGAGGACTGATTAAAATAAATACAGAAATAATATGGTTGTTAAGAATATTTACCATTTCTAAAAAGCACCAGATATAACGTGCTGACAACGATTTATTTGCTTTATAGAAGACCCTAATGTTTTTTAAATTTGTTATGGTGTAATGAATTATTGCTATTTTAACTGCTTAACAATCTTCATTATTTACTTCATATTATGCAAGTATTCTTTGATGCTTTTGCAAAGGTATCGAAATTCGATAAACTTCAATTTTTAAAATCAATTTTTAAAACTCTAATGGATTTTGTGATGAGTTTCATAAATATGCACTTTAATAAAATGTTAAAACCTTTTATTATGTTATCATTCAAGAATATTGTACACAACTAATACCCTTGCTATGGCGCCAAAGTGTTTTCCGTATCCTGATCTGTTGCACTAACTACAATCGCCAAGGTGCCAAATAGGTTTTAAATTTGCAAGTTTTTAAAAAAAAAAACATGTAGATGTTTGCCCCGGAGTGGCTACGAGCTATACACTTCGAGTTGTCCTCTTTAAATTTTTTTTTGTTTCTCGCGGGCTGCTGCCCGGAAGTTGCCAAGACTTGGCGATTATTCTGCCACAGATCAAGATACGGAAATATCCCCACTCTTGCTATGGCGCCAAAGGATTTTTTAACTTTTGTTTTTATTTGATTTCTCATGGGTCATTTCCTAGAAGTCATACAAAGTTGGCTATTATTTTGGCATAAGTGCCGATGTGAAAATCTTCTCTATTATTCTTTGTACACCTCAAAATATTTCAAAATAAAATTGGAGGATTGTAATAAACCCAACTTTCTTGGTTCATAACCACAATGGGCCAAAAAATTAGAATTTGTTAGATCAGATGTTTATAATGAGATTCATAAACATCTGATGAAACAAATTGTGAAACTTTTTATTACACATTTAATTATTTTATGTATTTATTGTAGCTTTTGTGCACATCTCAAAATATTCCGCAATTGGATAGTTTGTAAAACTGCAGTTTCTTGGTTCACATTCACAATTGGCTGAAAATTTAGAATTTGTTTGTTCAGTTGTTTATGATGAAATTCATAATTGTCTGATTTAACATGTTTTGTAACTTTTTCTTTTATGTTTAAATATTTTATGTATTTCTTATAGCTTTTGTGCACATCTCAAAATATTCCAAAATTGGAAGAGTTTGATAAACCACAATTTCCTGGTTCACAATCACAATGGACTGAAAAATTAGAATTTGTTAGATCAGATGTTTATGATGGAATTCCTGTATACAGAGTTATGAACCGTGATGGAAATATTATTGATCCTTCTCATGACCCTAAGGTAATTTATCTCTATCTAACTAATTTTTTTGAAAATTTATTAAACATTTCATTTTGAAAAATTATATTTGATTGTAGATATTTTAACCATATCCTCTGAAATATTTCTTCAATATTTCATTCATTTCTTACTTATGTCACAAGGTTAATAAAAGATAGCTGATAAAGTGAAACAAAATAATTTTTGGTTTCTTGATCAATAGGTTTTGAAAAATTTAAATATTGATTTTATTGTTGTTTTTATTTTTAAATTCATGTTCATTATATTTACTTAAGTGAATAATAAATTTAATACTTTTGCATCTTGAATCCACTTTTAAACTTATGTTTCTACGCTTCTTCTTGTATGTTGTATGGATAAATTGCTAATGTCAGCTATTTAGTGTTTACAATTATTGATCAAATTAATTATTTTGAATTTTTATATTCTCTTTTTAATTGTTTTACATTTTATTAATATATTTTGTATATAATGCAAATAATACTGATTTGTGATCAAAGTTAAAACTGATCCGAAGTGCTATAATTTAATATAAAGCTGAAAATCATTGATTTCTTAAGATAAAAATGATAATTATAGTACATTTATTTTAAGAATTTTTAACAATTATAATTTTGGAAAAAGGGTATAGTTATAACTGCAAAGAGGCAAAAAAATTCTGTAAATATTTGAAGTGGATGTTATTAAAAAAGAACACAAATATACTGTTTTTATTTCTTTTTTTTTCCCTTTTGTAAATAAGTTAACTGTTAAGGTGCTAAGGCTTTGGCATTTGTATACAGAAAATTTTCATATTAACGATGTTGTTATTAATAAATTGCTTATTAATATTCAAATATTTATTATCTGCTTAAGTATTATTTTTTAACATTTGCATTTTATTTTAAATAAACAGCTTGGCGAAGAGACTATAACAAAGCTTTATAAAGGAATGACATTACTGAATACTATGGATCGTATTCTGTATGAATCTCAGAGGCAGGGTAGGATTTCTTTTTATATGACAAGTTTTGGAGAAGAAGGTACCCACTTTGGTAGTGCAGCTGCTTTGGATCCTCAAGACATGATATTTGGACAATACAGGGAAGCAGGTACTACTTTTTCTGAATTATTTTTAGAATCGCAAGGTATTTTTACTGTCAAAACTATTATATTATTTATCTGTGTTTTGGTTTATAAACTAATAATTTTTTTTTTGTTTTTGCATGCAATGACATTTATTAACAACAAGCACTAAGTCTTCTTCAATGAATGTGTGTTTTCCTTCTCCCAAAAAAATGTTACAAACTATATTTTATTAATATAAGTATGATTTTTAAGTGGAACTATTAATTTATGATTGTGAAAATAATTATTCTGAACAATGTAAATAAAATTTATTATTTAAATGCTGTGTATTAATATTACAGAAAAGTGTTTGAAGAATTTGTAATTTAATGTTAATTAATGACTGTAAAAAAAAAATTTTTTTTTCAAAGCACAATATAAAAACTATATTTTTCGATTTTACCTATGCGCTGCCTTAATATGGCAATTATGTTAACTAGTAATTAGACCATGAGTTTATTGTTTTCCTGATTTTTAATTAAATTTATAAAATTATTTGGTTATTTATTGGATAGAATTACTGTTAAAGCAGAGTAGGATCAAATTTTATGTTCTAGAGCTCACTGATACTTCATATGCTAAACACAAAAACATCCAGATATTTTAATTCTATGAAAGTCAAGGATGTTTGTCTTTAGGAAGCTCAAGAGTTTATAAAAACAAGGCTTGTTTTCCACCCAAAATTTATCACAATTTTGATTTAAATATTTTTACTTCTGTTTGTATTTATGGTTTTCAGTTATCTCTGTGAATATAATATATATTTACATGTAAAAGCACAAAAAATATTTTTTTGATCTAATAGGTACTAGTGAATAATACTGGTGAATGTAATTTCTTATATTTACTATAGAAATGTTTCGTGATGAATTATCAATGCAGATTTTAGTTTTCTTCATTATAGTATACATAACAGAATTAATTTTTTTAAAAAAGTGAATGAAATAGACAAAAGTTAATAAAAATATGACAGAGACATTGAGTTGTTATTGTAAATTTAAATCTACAGCATGAACTAAACAATTTCTTTTTGTGTTGTTAAATGGCTACTGTACCTAGGGTAAAAAGAAACTGTTCATTATTAATTTAAAAAAAAAATGATCAGAATTAAGAAGGTTGACATGTGATTAATCAATCTTTATTATTCAGATAATATTTTTTAGAATAAATTAAAAGTTTATTCTAAAAATTACTTTTCAAATAATTTTAAAATTTTGTTTCAATCTTTACTTTTTAAAATTTTTTTTAAAAGAAAAAGGGGAGATTACAATTTTGAACTCACCTTCTGTGTTTACTATTTTTTTTATTTCAATTAAATGAGAAATTTTTAATTAAAGTAAGAGAAAAATATATTAAATAAGAAATTGGTTATTGCGCCAAATATGAAATATTTGTATATTATGCCTGACTGAAGTTAGAAAACAAAAATAAATTGATATTTGATAAGAGCTTAAATTATTTAATAACATTCTCTCTTTTAAAATTAATAAACATCCTCTTTAATTATGAAAAGTATTTATATTTTGCTGTTCATTTATAGCATGTATAATTATTTAATGTCATTGATTTAAGATTTTGTAACCGTTCTAATTTATTGTATCATAATTTTTACTGGCTTTTTTAGGTGTACTGATGTATCGTGGTTTTACCTTAGACCAGTTTGTGAATCAGTGCTATGGGAATAAAAATGATATTGCTAAAGGTCGCCAAATGCCTGTTCATTATGGAATGAAATCTCTAAATTTTGTTTCAATATCATCACCATTAGCAACTCAGATGCCACATGGTATATTTTGGTTATAAAATTTTATAAAAAATACTCTGGCTTAAAATTAGATTTTGCCTACCTAACTTTAAACTCCTTTTTTTTCTCCTCCTCTCTCTTCTTCTCAACTCCTCTTTTTTATATCCATAAGTAGGTATTTAAATATAATGTGTATCATAAATTCTTCTACTGAAATTATTATTAATATAATTTTTATATGGGAAAATGCACATTGATTTATGTTTTTGCCTTTTTAAGGAAAGTATATTTACAGTAATTTTTTTTAACAAGCTATAAATTATGTTTATTACATTGCTATATATCAATTAAATTTTAATAGTAAATTTAATTATAATTAATTTTCTACGGGACTGTATCTTTGCAATCAGTTTTACTTTCCGAAATTAAAGAGTTTTGTGAAATTACTTGATAATTAGCAAATTTGAGAAGGTCATAAAAAATTAAAAAGCTATTTATAAAACTTATTAATATTATTGAAAACTCTTTAACTTAAGGAATTTGCAGTATAAATTAATGCATTGCATTTACAGCTGACCATAGATTTTTTTAAGCAAAATTTATAGTCTTTCTAAAAAACAAAATTGAAGTTTTTCCACTGAGTTTTTCCATTTTAAATAAATGTGAGAATTCTTAGGTGCTGTAGTGACTGTTTATTATTATTATTTTGTTTTTTTACAGCAACCTTAGTATCTCACACTGTTTTATTATTATTTTTTATTATATATCATTGATTTGTAAATGAAACATGCAGACTGATGATTGCAGTTTTGAAATATTACATGATAAAAATACAGTGAAACCTCTCGGGTGAGACCGCTCTCTCTTCCACAGTAAAATGATTGTTAATGGCGGTTGGTTATTCTTCGGGACTACCTTCATTGACTTCGAAATGTTGTCTAAGTTACGTGATTTTTCGCAAGCAATTTTAATTTTACTCAGTGTCACTTTCTTAGTGCAGAAATGCAACTTGAGTTGGTGTCATGAAAACCGGATCGATGAATGAAATTTAATGTCATCAAAAAGGACTCCTACCGATAAAATTATGTTTAAAAACAAATTTTCCAATTATGAAAGATAGAACTATTTTAAATAAGTAAACAATTATGTTTTTAAATTTGCATTTAATTTTATATCATAAAAATTAGCTTTAAAGCTTGTTTATTTGAGATTCTCTTTTTTTTTCCTTCTAATTTAACTTTCAACTCTCAAAATAAATCATTGATAGCATTGTTTTTAGTGCACTCTGACTACAACATGAGGTTGTAGATCTCTTTCAGAAATCGTCAAAAAGAGCTTTATAAATAAGAGCCTCAAACAGATATTTGGTATACATTTTAATTTTCTTATTTGTTTTCTTAACATTTTTTGTTAGATATTTTTTCGTGTTTACTTAATTAACCTTTTCTTAATTATTTAATTAACTGCATTTGCTGCAAAGGATTGCCTGATCGCTGGAAGAGGTTTTGATGGACTTTCCTAAAGGTTTTCTTCAACACAAAGTATACAGAAAAAATTCCGTGCCTCCTAAAAGTGATCACAAATAGAGGTCCTTACATGGAGGTGTTCTTTCCTAGAAGTTTCACTGTAATGTTCGAGAAATATTAAAGAAAAATATTTGTACTTAATGAAAATATTACTTAATAAATTTCACCAGTCTAAAGATTATATCATTTTAGACTACAAAACCAAACAACTAACAACTAGAATATCTTGACTTAAAATATTTCACTTGAAAGCTGACAATATCATGCATAGGGTAAAGGGACAGAGTTAATTGGAAGAGTTGCAATAATTTTGTTATTTATCACTCAAACTTACACTTTCATTTCTGTTAAACTTTCATTTGCATTTCATGACAGCATTCTTGATTCTTAGCAGCAAATTAAAAAATAAGATTTTTGTGGTGGTAAAGTAAATTTTAAATCTCTTTGTTTTAATGCCTCTTATTTAATTTTTAATCATTGCTTTTAATAATCAGAGACATTATACTATGAATGATTATGATAATTTCATATTTTTATTGTTACTGCCTTTTCTAATTAACCAATCATGAGTTTAAACGAACAAATGACTTGATGGAGTTAACGAGGAGAAATCAAAATTAAGCTATCTGCGTGTGTGCTAATAATATTGGTTAATTACTGACACAGCTTTAATTGGAATAATTATTACTCTTACTTTATACTAATTTTAACCAAATCATTCATTTACATTTAATCAGCCTAAAATTCTTACGTATTTTACTGTTAATGCCTTTTCTAATTGTTCAGTAGCATACTTTAGAAAATAAATAACTCAATTTAATCTAATTGAGCTATCTGTCTGGAAGTTAATTGCTAACACATATTTTATTAGCATAATAATTCAATAAATTAGAGTAATTTTAGAAATATTTATATGTTTAAAAATTTTATCCACATTAAAGGCTATTATTTAATAAATTCGATTAAATTTCGTTTAGTAAATTTGGAAAAAACTAAGACAAATTTCAACTATTTTTTTTGTTAATTTAAAATTCTTATCACCTATATAGCATGGGATTTTATTATTTTTAGCAGTTGTAAAATATGTTCCAAATTCAGTAAAGGCTTCTACCTCTCTCCTGTTACTTAATATTGATTTGTCTAATTACTTTATAAAATAAAAACTGAATTCAACTTAATTAAATTAAATTCTTCTAATAAATAAAACATTAAACATAAATTTCTAATGTAATAGCTTGTCTTTAAAACAGTTTTATTTTAGGTATGAGGAACATAAATTAAAATAGATTTAAATTATCGATATTATTAATTATTTACACTAACCCCATATAGACTGGTGAGGCCAAAAACATCTTTCTTTCTTCTTCTTTTTCCTTTTTTGTTTTTTAATTGAAAAAGCTTAATAATGTATACATAGGCAATTCCATGAACAAGGGATAACCTAACAAAAACTGAACATTTAATCATTAACAAATTGTTTAGCTTTTTTATTAACTATTTTAGATATAAAATCAAAAATTGTAGTTAAATATTTTGTAATGTTAATAAGAAAATGTTTATTCAAATTTTAATCTAGTTTGTATTTGTAACATAAGTCACATAAAAACTGTAATATCAGTCAAAAAAGCTTTTTCTCTGTTAACAATTTTTTATATTTAATTTCATATGTACTTTTAGTGTTTCCTGTTTGTTTGAATTTTTTTAAAATAAGTTTCAAAAAGATAATTCCTACATTGCTTATAAAAGAAAGAAAATTTCAGAATTAAAATATATTTTACTCAATGTCCTTTCTATGTAACATCAGTTACATTTAATATTTTTATTCTATGTAAAACATTTATAATTTTCTTCCTTTTTTTAGGTATAATAATATTAGGCTATTGAAAAACAACTCATATAATTTAAAAAAAAAAATACTAATAAACATTTAAAAATGAGAAAGTTTATTAAAATCTAACATCATGGAATTGCCCACATCTATAGTAATCATTCAAAATGAAAGTAATAGTTAAAATTTTAATTAAGATATACAAAATATGTTCAAATTGATAATAAGTAAACTTTTGTATGAAATTTTTTAAAATTATTTAAATAATTCCCCTTTATGAATACATATTTTTTTACATCCAGTTTGTGGCATTTCCATATCTAAGTCATGTACCTTTCAACTACATGAAATTCAATTACTGATTTCTTTTAATTGTTTGGGCTTAAAAATTCAAGTTGTTTTTGAAGTTTGTTTTTTCCAATGTTTTTTTCATCGTAATTTACTATAGATATGAATTTTTTCTCATAATTTTCTGCTACAAATTTGATTAATAGGTAAATTATATTATTTTTAGCTGTTGGAGCTGCGTATGCATTCAAGAGATCTCAATCAGGGTTGTGTGTCATCACTTATTTTGGTGAAGGAGCTTCTAGTGAAGGGGATGCTCATGCTGCTTTTAATTTTGCTGCTACTCTTAACTGCCCCATCATATTTTTTTGGTAAGCAAGAACTTACTAAATAAAATAAAAAACAACGATATAGTTCAAAAAGTGTCAGTCTAAAACATTAATTTTTTTTCTGCTTATATTTTTTATTATAATTGGACTTAAGCAACATAAGTCACAAAATTAAGGATTGCAACTTTCTTCTCCAGCAGAAAAAAACGTCTCTGGAAGAAACAGGTTTCTTCAAACCCAAATAGAAGAAACTCTTTGTCAAAAGGAAACATCAAATATTAAAAAAATTTTTACACATTTTTAATTTTAATCTAGTCTAAAAAATAGTATTAATTTCCATGTTATTTAATATTTCATTTTTAAAAAATCAAAGACTAACCTACTAAATTTTATAATCAAGTACTGTTAAATACGAATACTCCAATTTACTCTTATATGAAAGATAGAGATTTTAAAATCTCAATAAAATTAAAATAATTTAAAAATAAATTTTAAAAAAAATTGACAGGAAAAACTTTACAAACCCAACTGTATTAAATTTATTACAAACCCAATGAATTAAATTTATTGCAAACCCTATTGTACTGTATTAAATTTAGTTTGTTTAAATTTAAGCTATTCCTATAATATTAGCTACTAAACAATTGTATTGGTCATTTTTAGTTTCTTCCATTTTTTCTGAGTCTTACAAGAAATAAGTTTCTTCCAGACGAAATGCGAACCCTGGTACAGAATAATTGTTAGAACCTTGAATATTGATAATGTACAAGTAGTATTGCTACTGAGCATTTTTCATATTCCAAACTAGAAAGAAAAATAATAGATTAACTTGAGTTGCTGATGTTGCCAATGTTTTCTTTTTAATGGAATTTCTCCGCGGTGAATGGTAAAAGATATTACAAACTAAAATTGTCATAAATCTGAAAAAGTTCTTTGGTAGGGGTCAGCTAAAACTTGATTATGATCTTTGAATTGTTATGAAATATTGAGCATTGCATATTTTCTAGCTTTTTAATTTTGTTTAATTCTTAAATTTATAATTAATTCTCAAATTATTTTCTCTTTAAAAATATCTATTAAATCTTACTCACTGGAAACACTTGTAATGAAAATCCAATTCTATAAATAGATATTGTTTTTTTTTTAGTTTACTTGCATAGTTAAAGAGGAACCTTTTCTTGATTGTTAGTAAAATCTACAGATGGTGTTGGCAACCTTTCCAAAATGAAACTGAAAATTTTGATTTCTGATTATTCGATTCGATTATATTAGAACTATAGACTGATTAAAACTGAAACTTTCAACAATTACATCAAAACTAGTTCCACGATACTAAATTTATTCCATGCTATAAAATTTATTCCATGATATTAAATTTATTCCACGATGTTAATTGTTTTTTATTAAAACCTTTTTATTGTTATTAACTTGAATACCTTTTTCTTGAAGAACTAAAACGACTCAATCACCCATTTGGGATTATGAACTTCGATAATATTAACATCAGTGATGGGCATCATTCATGAAAATTTTATTCATGACTAAATTTATTCAGAATAAATTTATTCTGAATGATTATTCATACGAAAATTTAGTCATTATTAATCATTCATTATGCAAATGTATAAAATTTTTTGAATAATGATTGATGAATAAACTCATTAGTCATGAATAATTTTTCTGAATAAAATTTTGAATAACCAGCAAAAAATGCAATCGATATGTCTATAACGGAATGCAAAACATCGTTTGGTCTTAAACTTCTTATTTTAGGAATTAAACTATAAAACTAAGACAAGTATGTTTATTTATTTTTATGTTATTTTAACTTACTCCTGCGTAACATACTTAGTTGTGCTAAAAAGTAGGTTTATAACAGTTTAGTTACTTAAGTTCATTTTAAAATTTTGTTCTAAAAACTATAAAACGCCATTTTTTATAGTTTTTGAAAGCAAACGATAATATTATTTTAAATTTTTAAACAAAATTTTAACTTAAAAAATTAAACGCTTTTTTGCCATGTAACCATTTCTCAAAAGAATGCATTACGTTAGACAAAAGTAAATTTTCTCAAACATTATATAAATATACTTGAAAAGGATTAACGTTTTATTTGTAGTTGTCATAATTGTAGTCAATTAGAGTATTGGGTGCCCATTTTTGTTGACCAGTGAAATTATTCAGTTATTTTTGACTAATGAATAAAGGATACTGAATAACGAATAATTTATTCTTTATTCAAAATATTTCTGACTAATGAATAAATCTTTATTCATCATTCATTATTCAGATTTTGAATAATTATTCATTATTCTGAATGACAAATGCCCATCTCTGATTAACATAAATATTGAAGATCATTATATGTTTATGATATATTTTATAATGTTTTATCTTTTACCTAAAAATTTTAAATTTGTAATTGATCATTGTAATTGGTTTCATTTTTAATAAGCTCAAATAATGGATGTGTCCAATGATGAGTGGTGACTATCGTAGTAATTTTTCCCAAATTTTATTGAGAGAGGGGAAAGAGAAAGGCTTTGCTCATCCTTCGATTCTTGCATTATTTTTCCATTAGAAACTAAAATTTAAATAAATCAATAAATATCTAAGAAATAGTGGTTCTTCTCATCTTTTCAGTAACAAAATAATTGCCACCAACAACAATCTTTACTTTAATATTATATTAATGAAATCAGTTATCCTTTTTGCTATAACTTCATTTAATATTAAACAGTTATCAAAATATTACAATGCTTCAGCTTGTTTTTTAACAAGCAAAAAATACGCCATATCTGTTTCAATTCATTCTAATGTATTTAAGACAGTCATTTAAAAATTTATTTAAGAGAGTTATAAGTACATTTGTACTTATAACTATCTTAAATAAATTTTTCCACAACCACCAAGTTTTAAATAGTTTCTATTATAAGAAACTATTCTATTATAAGGAATTTTGCTTCAAATTGCATTAAATTGTTTTTATTTTTATTTATTTATTTTTTTGTTTTTTTTTTAAAATTAGAAACATTTAGTTAAATTGATATTATAAAATTTGAAATCAACTGTGGGCTTTTCTCCAAAAGTTTTTAAAACTGCTTCAAAATTATAAAACTTGCTGTCACAGATTGCATAAAAATATTAATTTCATCACTGTGTGCTGTCTAAAATTTTATAAATAAATGTATCAGTGCTGATTTTAATATGTTATATTCATAGTGCACAAAAAAAATTCACCCTGCAGCGTAACTTTTGATCTAATGATCGTATATCTCAACCTCAATAGTTCGAGAAGGTGACCTCAAGTATGCTAATTAATAAGTACAGAGGATATTCTAAGTTACAAAATCAGACACAAAAACGTACTTCTCTTAATAAACATACCTTTTTTTTTACATATTCGAATTTCTGACCTTAAAATATAAGGGAGAGCCATATTTTGAGAAATATGGTACTCATAGTTTGGTCAGGAGAGTGATCCAAAGTTTGAACCCCTTATTGTTAATTTTACTTTGAAAATTGAAAAACTTTTGCACACAACTATAAAATTTGTTTATCCAAAGATAATTTCATGCAAAAAAGAAAATTTAGCAAATATTTATTATTTTTTACATTACTTTAAAGTATACCTCGGTAAAATTCGATTACTCAAAAACTATTCGACCAATTTTTTGCTCAAATTTTGTATTTTGCCATGTAAAATGACATACTTTAGAATGATGTAAACAATTGTATAACTTACAATTTAAAATTTTTTCGACTATTACTAACAAAATAATAAATATTTATTGAAATTTAATTTTTTCATGGGATTATATTTAGATTAAACTAACAAATTTTATAATTCTGTGTGATAATTTATATTTCGCTTAAAATTTTTTGAGATATCGTGAAATACGCAGAAAGTAAAATTAACATTAAGTAAAGTAAACTTTGGAACGCTCTCCTGACCAATCTATTGGGGCCATATTTCTCAGGTTGGGGCTGCCCCCTATATTTCGGGGGTCAGAAATTCGAATCTGTCAGAAAAAAGGTGTGCTTATTCAGAGAATATTTGAGGTCATCAAACCATTAAGATTTAGTCTTAGAACGTGAAAATCCATTTATGAGATCAAAAGTTATTCAGGGTGGTCTATTTTTTTTAGTGCATTACAATATAGATATAAAGCATAAAATCCGAAATTTTCACTGATTATTTAAAAACATATGAAATTCTCACTGATTATTTAAAAACATATGAAATTTTCATTTTTTAGCCGTAATAATGGTTATGCTATATCAACTCCAACTCATGAGCAATATAAAGGTGATGGAGTAGGTAAGGGTAACCTTTTATTTTTGGTACAATTTTATGTTTTAAACTTTATTTATTAACTTTATTTGAACAAATTTCAAATCTATTTATTGGAAAATATTTCTTATATCCATTTCTAAAATCTTGCAGCTTTTTCACTATTTAAACCAATGCTTTAATAGTACTTTTTTAGATCAATCAGTTAATTGTCAGATTGGGTTGCCAAACTTAAAGTCCAGTTCTTAGTATATTAATATTCATTTAGATTAAATAAAAATGCATTTTTGTATTTTTCTTTTCTTTTTTGGTATCTGTAGCTGCAAGAGGCCCTGCTTATGGTATACCTTCAATAAGAGTTGATGGAAATGATATTCTTGCAGTATATAATGTAGTTAAATCTGCCAGACAGTTAGTTATTGAAGAATCAAAACCTGTTCTCATTGAAGCTATGACTTATAGGTAAATATTGCTAATTATAATGATCCACTATTTTACGATAAAAAATTCCTGTAAAATATTTCCATATTAATTTGTTTATCTTATGCATTAAAACAAATATTTTTTTAAATAACATTTTAACTTCTGTTCTGCTTGAATAGGATAAAAGTTTTTAATTAATCACTTGTCATAGGATATTAAAAGAGTAAAATGTTTTTTTTTAGAAAAAGTTTAATTATGAAATTTATTTGTTCATTAAAATTTTATTGATTTCAATAGCAATTATCATAGATTAAGTTATAGTATCATAAAACATAAATGACAGCTTATGTTGAATAACCAATCTCTCTCTCTCTCTCTCTCTCTATATATATATATATATATATATATATATATATACAGGGTGATTCTAAAAAGATGGGAAAAATTTTAGGAAGTGATAGTACACACCCAGACAAACGATTTTTATCAAAGAATGCATGGTCGAAAACAAAACCCAAAACCGCAAGAGGGCGTCGAAGTTTATGTTCTTATATGAGGCAAAAACACACAAAGAACGATGAAGTTATGTTTTAAAAGCAAATTTAATGGCATGGGATTACAATAAGTGTTCAAAACAGTGGCCGGCAGCGGCTATGCTGGTACAACGGCGAAGAAAAGATAGGCAAACTTTCCCTGCAGCGGCTGAAAGCTTGGCGACAAATAACGTAGCGCAGTAACTCGCAATAGGAATGGAGCTTTCTCGTTTGCATGAAAAAACTTTCCAAATGCGCCAGCACCTTTGCGTTTTGTTTTCGACNTACAAATATATATATATATATATATATATAAAATAAAGACAAAAAGGATTTTTAACTTATATATATACACTGAACTAAGGATTTATTTGTTACTTATATTTTATGCTCACTCTTGGATAAGAAACACTTGATGTATTTCTTTTTGTAAATAGATTTTAATATTATGTATTAAAAACATTTGGAAAAAAAAATTAGGGTGCAAAAATAAATAAATAAAAGGCATAAAAGAGTCATTCCATAGCTGTCACATAAGTAGCTAAAACTTGATAAATAATTAAATTAAAAATTTACCAATATTCTGGAAGGGAAATGAATATTTTTTGCTCATTAAATCATATCATTTTCACACAACGCAATGCAATAAATTATAAAAAGTTCAATGGCTAAATTATATTGTTCATGCATGTCTCCACAGTGGATGAAAAATGCAAGAAAAACATAATAATATCAACAAAAAAAGTGCATAATATAAAAAAAAACTTAATAATGATTACGAATGAAACAACACAATTATAGAGTAATTAAATTTTATATATTGCAATTGCAAAGCAATGTATGCATTTTAGTTAATCTATTTTTTAGAAGCTAATTTGACTCAAAGTTTCTCTGATAATTCTCAGTAATTTTGTATTATATTAATAGAACTGAGATTTTGTTGATTAAAGGATCTTCTTAAGATGCTTGAGCTTTCGGTTTCCCTATATTTTATGCAATTACAGCCTTTTTTTAAAGTAGGTTTTTTTTAAACCTGTAAGTAGGTTTAAGCTATGTGGTGCATGTTTAATAGTTCTGATTCTGGGCTATATAATCTGTATATCAATTTTAAAATATTAATTTTGGTGCTTTCTATTATCCAGAATAGGACATCATAGCACATCAGATGACAGCAGTGCATATAGATCTGTGGATGAAGTTAGATTTTGGCATCAGAAAGATCATCCAATAACTCGTTTGAGAAAATACATGGAGAACCAAGGCTGGTGGGATGATGCAAAAGAAAAAGCATGGAAAGAAGAAACTAAAAAACAAGTAACTATATTAAACATGAACATTTTTCTTATTGTGTTTATAAAAAAATTTAATTAGTTTTAGTGTTAATTTAGGGAGGTATAAATATTTGGGATGATTTAAAAGCATTACTTTAATTGTAGCTGGTGAAAATATGACAAGAAAAGATTTCAAATGTTTTGTATCTATATTATATAAAGCACTAATGCATATATTGTTAAGAAACCAATGTCATTTATATTTCATATTGGCAACAAAGAACTAAAAACTGATATATTGAGGTAGTGGGTCATCATAAGCATGAGCGCATAAACTAACGTGTTTCTGAATGAAAATTCTTTCCTCACATAGGAAGCGAAAAGCTGAAACAAATTGATGATATAAACATACTAAAATATGCTATATTTTAGTTTTAATTATGTTATTTGTACAAGTTTAATTACAATTTAGTTTTAATAATACTTCCTAATTACTGTAGATGTGTTTTCTCAATTAAGTTTGATCAGCTATGTTTTTTTTTTTAAATTTTATTTAACATACAAGTTTAAGCAAGACTAAAATTGTCTCCAAATACTGAAATTTATAATTTTGTGTACATAAAATCGTAATGAATTTATAAATTGAATGAAATGTTTATGAATCAAACAATTCATAAGATGTATGTATTGCAGAATTTTAGAACTTCATTTTGAAAAGAGTATTAGAATGCATACAAAGCTAGACTAAAAGACTTGAATTTAATGAATGAGAGAACAAGTTCCAATTGCAAAACTCCTAAAGCTGCTATAGAGGTTTGCCTTTAAGAGAGATCTAAAAACCGATAAAACTACATATGATTTATTTTGCTGTTAGATATGAAAGAAAAGGATTTAACTTAGAAAAATAGTACGTCAGAAATTCCAGCAGCTACTAACGCAACTTTATCACATTCTCTAAGTTCCTTCCCACCGCCTGGAGGAAAACTTTTAAATCATAGCCCGTTTGATGTAAAATGTATTTATAGATGAGATATATAAAGCAACGCAAGCAAGTAAAATACAAAAATTTAGGAAATTACTATACTCATAGACTGCAAAATGTTTGCTTAACAAGGAAAAATGAAAGAATCAGCCACAAAACATAAATTAAAATGACTTAAAGTTAACATTTTTTACAAATATTAATATCTAATTTAGTATTCAGTTGCTATTTTCTTTTAGCAATGTCTATTTTAAATAACATAAAACTATCTATTCGAAATTGTTGCATAAAGATAATTAAATACTACTATTTTACTTGCTGCATAAAGTTTTAGCTTTGTTTTTCTATATTTAACGCTTATATATTTTGAAATATATGTAAAGTTATTAATAATCTTAATTATATCTTCAAGGTAATGCAGACTGTTGTGAAAGCAGAAAAATTGAAGAAAGCTCCCATTGATGAAATGTTAAAAGAAGTTTATGATGTAATGCCACCGCATGTTGAAGAACAACTTCAATATATAAAAGCTCATGTTGAACAGTATCATGAGCATTATCCTGTTGATCATTTTGAAAAATAATTTGTTTTGTTGCCAAATACAGATTGCATTTATATTGTTATGTTATTGTTTAACTATTAAAGTCCTATTTTATATTCTTTTTAAGAAAAAGAAATCTATTTTTGTAAAACTTTTAATAAAATTTTTTTCTTGAATTTATATATTTTCGTTCCCTAAGGCTAATTTTGATTATTGAAAAAGTGTGTGAACTAATTTTAGGGTATCTGCTACATTTTAGATTTTCAAATTCATGACTTTCCATGACTAATTCCAAGAACTTTTCATGATTTAACAAAGTTACTATTTTCTCCGACAAAAACAGAACAATAAATTTAAAAAGCATTGTAATAACCTTAATTGAAACGATAGGTATAACCAAAACTGTTATACTCTGCATCTTCATATTTATTGATTTTAAATTTAAAAGAAAGAGTTGAAGCAATAAAATAGCTGGAGAAAAAAAATACAAAAGCAAATAATTTTTTCTTTCTTTTTTCTGGAGAATTGTATTCTAAAGATACTTTTCTTATTCATCAGAAAGGGGGATTTTGTTACAAATTCAGATATTCGTTACACCATGAAATTTAATGGGATGGGGAATTCCATTTTAAAAGTAAAATTTTTCAGCGACCTAAATCCATGATTTTTTTTTAAAAAAAAAGTTAAAATCATGACAAATTTTGTTCAATGCCGAAATTTATGACTTTCCAGGTGCGCGGATATCCTATAATTTTGTGATACGATAAATTCTACAGAAATGCATTATATAAAAAACTATTTGCTTAACTGCCTTCTTAAGAAAACCTGGTGCAATGTTCATGGCATAACATCTTAATTTTTTAAAAAATGATTCTTCTCTATTTGTTTGATTGAAGAATTGCTAGCAATGATATGTATTTTTTTGTTTTCTTAATTTACTTTTCTTCTTTTTTTTTTAGACTCATACATAACTTAATTTGTTTTTGATTTTTAATATTATTTTAATCAGACTACAGTTTACATTTTTTCTAAAAAAAATACTGGATTTAGTTTAGAATTAGTATGAAATCTTAATTGAAAATTTCTTAAAGTTTATAACGAGGAAAAACAAATGTTATTCACATTTTTGACTAAGTGGAAGTTTCTTTTGTGATATTAAATTTTTCTAAATAAGCATTTATAAACATCATACAGAGTTAGAATGTGATCCTGCATTTAACCATCATTGGTAGCAAATTCTTTATTTTGTATTAATTATAAGTCTTAAACATGAACATGACGAAAGAAAATCTGATAAGTCCAAATTCCCTCACCTTCATGGAGCTGGCATCAAAAAAGAAAACCTCGCTTCCTGGCTCGTACCCCCCAAACATCACTGGTACCAGAGCACCAGTCCAGGAGGTGCACTCAACATTCGGTGCAACCGCAAGGACCAGACTGCACTTACCNCAATAAATGATTAAGAAACCCCAAAATATCTACTGTTCAGTTTAGATGTAATACAAAATTTAGGAACAATATAAAATTTAATATCTTAAGAATAAATATATCTATCTTAAAAAATAGTTTTTGCCATGTACCCTTTGATTCAAAAACATTTTAAAACTAAATTAATGAGAAAAAATTACAATGTAGACATTTAAACATGCATATCATTCTGATACAAATCTCTATTGACATTACAATCCATAATTTTGAATAATATTACTTTTTTTTAAATACTAGTGGGCTATGACCCCTTGCTCAGTATCTTCAAGCATTCCTTCACAATTTTATTAAGATATCTTAATGAAGTCATAAATCCAATGTTTATTGTTAGTGTTTTAGTTTGGTTCCTTCAAATAGGGAAAGATCTCATATAAATTACCTAATTGTAACAGAAACTTCGGTATAAAATGTATATATATCTTTTGTTTTTAATATTATTTGCTAAATAAATTAATTTTGATAATATAACTCTCTATATTTAGTAATAATTAAACTATTTTATGTCAAGAATAACTGAAGGGATTGATGCAAGAACCTGATAAATCAAAATCCCCCCTCAAAACAAAACAAAAAAGTGCATTACATGTTTAAAAAAAAAATTAGAAAAATGTAACATGAATTTTCTCCAGTGTTGTGCAGGTAAATGTTTCAGTGGGGAATGGTAAAAATTCAAAATTTTTTTTTTTCTTGGTTGAAAATAGCACATAAAAGGGCTATAGAAATTCTTGTTTCCACTAGCAACTTTGAGCTTTCTTAAATCTGCTAGTGGAAATAAAGTATTTACATTTGGATTAAAATCTCTTTTATAACTATTAAATCTTTCATATTTAATTTTGCATAACAAAATAATTTAATTTTAAATAAATGAAAGCAGTTATAAAAGGCTTTTCATATTGTTATTTCGAATTTTAGCTGTTGTCGGGTTGAAAAAGAGCGATTGATGAAAATGGGATGTGGATCCTTGGATTAGAAGTTTTGTGTCAAATAATCCATAAATTATTAGTTCAGAATGAAATACCCACTAGACAAGTAGTTGCTGCAGTAGGTGTATACCAGGCAGAATTAGGCCAGATCTTTAACAGGAAATGTTAACTTATGTTTAAGGCTTCATCGATTCCTTTATCTTTTTATTTAATCAAATAGAGGATTAAAGCTTATAATCATCTATGTTCGATACAATAGCACCATTAAATGTGTGTAAATTTTTAACAGTTTATATAGAAATTAAATAAACTTAAATTTGATTATGAACACTAAAATTGATTTGTATAAATCTTGCATTTATTTATTATATTTTCTGTAGTAATTCTTTTTCTTTTCTTTTAAAAGTTATCAATTTAGCTTATCAACTGTAGATGGTATAGCAAAAAAATTTTTTTTTGGTTTCTTCTTGTTTTGATTTTCATAATTAATATAACATATCTGATATTATCTGCCCACATTATGATAACTGTTTTATAGCCGAGCTTACAACTATGTTGTAATTTTTTTTTAAGAGATTGTAAACAAATGTTTGGAGATAAAGCAAATGACTAGTCTATAATTTGCATGGTGACATGTAGTTGCAGTTTAGAAAATATAACTTTTGACGGTTTCTATCGTGTTGGGTTCACATTTTCTTGATTGCAATTATCTCCTACAATATAAAATTCAGAATAAAAAAAGTAAATTTTTTGTGTGTTAGATTTTGTAACTTAAAAATGTCTTTCCAAATAACATAAACTTTTCATAAACAAAAGATCATTTGTTTTGGATTTTTAACCTTTTAAATAATTTAAATTGCATCTTAATGTGTGGAATTCTGACATGAATATAAAAGTTATTAGCAATTATTTATATTACATACATATATTTATTATGACTGCAATAATTACAATAAGGGCTGTGGAGATGTAGTCTTAATTCATTACTTATTTTTTAGAGCTTTGAGGTTGATAAAACATAAATAAGGCAACAGATGCATGGTAAGCCCTTTCAGTATGCCTTTTAAGCCCTTTAAAAAGTATTATAATTAGGCAGGGTTGGAAAGTTTTTGAGAATTAAAGGTTTTATCTTGTTTTAACTGACATGTAAAAAAAAAAAACCTTTTGACATTGTTTTTGACAATTGTCAAAAATCATTAAATTTTGAATAATGTAAAACGAATGGCGTTTTCATACACTATGGACTGATAATACGCCAATATAAATTGGGGTTGAATTAATTGCGTAATCGTTGAATAGAACAATGTGAACTGTGCCTTTTTGCATAATTCGAAACGAAAATCAAAATAGTAAATAAAAAATCTCATTTTGAAAAAGGGAACTTTTTAAAAACATTAATTTTAAAACACCCAATAAAAAAAAGCAAGGGCTTTTATAAAATGAAAATAAGCAACTTTAAGCACTTTTTAAAAACACTATGCAGCTTGTTTAAAATAGTGTAATTCAGTTCGTAAATGTGAGAAATATTTTTACTTTGAATCAATGATGTTTTATATAATAAGCAAATTAGAATATAATTTTTTGAATGATATTTGAAGATTACATACATTGTGTGTAAGAAAAGCAGAATTTAAGATTATTTTTAGTGACTAATAAAATTATTAATTAATATTCTAGAATATACCAATTTTTTCTTTTTATAATTAATTGTTAAATATTTAGAATAATCAGATGAAAAAAAAATGGAAATTAATGTTTTAAAAATAGGAACCCTGGCACCATTTGAATACAATATTCATTTACTATTGAGAAAATATATTATAAACTATTTTAAGACTAAAAAAAAAAGAGAGAGTATTAGAAAAATACAATTTTATTTAAATGATGTATAATAAATCACAAACTTTAAGACACTTCACATAAATTTGCAAACTTATTGTTGATGTAAACATGTGCAAGCAATAATATATCACAACAAAATTATTTTCACATCAAAGGAATTCTTGTTAAGATAAAAAATTATACAGCATAACGAAATTCTTTACGAAAAAACATGATAAAAATATAGTGATCAGATATTGGTCCAACATAATTAATGGAATTCATTAACAAAATAAAATAAGTAGACTTAAGAAACAATTCAAAGGAGTTTGAAATATTTCACTAAAAAAGTTAACACAACATAGTATATATATTAAACAACTTAGTAAATATTGGGCTTAGTTGTACAATTGACAAAACAGAAATGATATGTGAACAATTAAATTCATAACTAGAATAGATTTGCAATAATTAAAAAAAAAACTAGGCAAGTAAAGAAATTGCATCTAATTCATCTAACAGAGCTTTCATATATTATATAAAATTGTAATTCAAATATTATAGATTGTAGAAATATAAAGATGTTATCACTGCATCACATTTCATATATAAATATCATGATATAAATTAAATTATACATCATATCATGATATAAATTAGAAAAATCTGATGTTTGTACTAAAAAATATAGATTTAACATACTATTGTATATTTGTGACACAATTTTAGACACAACCTGACAACCAATATCTTAAAATTTAGCATGGTTCTTACATTCTCTTTATCACGATGGAAGTTAAATGCTTAATTTATTGAATCCATCAATCGAGAATAATGAGACAGATTTGTATAGATTGGGGTAGATGATGTTTATAATATTTGTCATGCTAGTTAGCAAAATTATTTTTTTAAAAAAAGAAAAAAATATAAGAAAACTTTCTCAAATTTATTATCAACTGTAAAATAAAATAAATGCTACAATTTGACATTTGTGGTAAAAGAGGAATATATCAATATTTCCAAATTTCATGCAAGGTAAATGTTAGATTTTTTTCTTCTAATTTTCAAACTACATATTCTCATATGATTAAAACAGAATGAAGATTCAAGTTAGTCAAAATTGATGATCATAATAGAGTGATGAAATTGCCCCTGACAGATTAAGATTTAATAAGTAAGCCAAACAAACAATTAATGATTTAAATTTATGTTTTAAGATTTACTTTGCTCAAAAATAAATTAAAGTTAAAATTAAATTTGCTATGATATATATTTATTTAAATCAGTAAATTTTGAGCTTAGCAGTGAATTTACTCAAGATAAGTTAAGCTTTAAAATAATAAATTTCAGGCATGTTTGCAGTGAAGCTCCAACCAAATTACTAATTAAAAGAAAATTAATTCAATAGTTAATAAAAAATCAGAAATTCATTTATCGATATTGATAATTTTGGAAATTTTTTGAGCTGTACATAGATTTGTGTTTATGAATCATAGTTTCACATCAAGTTATTTTTTTCACAACTTTAATTTTCCGATGTAATGATTTCGCCAAGAACCTAAATACAGATGTCCATTATGCTCTAATGCTTCAGAAAGATGAGAAACCTTCCCTGTAGGTGAATGGATAAACTTAATGATTTTACCATTATCATCAAACTCCACAACCGCACCAGAATCTACAATATGATCAGCGATAATTCGAGCTGTGCCCAGCTACAAGAAAGAAAAAGAAAAAAAAAAAAACTTTAATACTAGCAATCATGCAAAAAATTAGGAATAATTAACACTAAAGAATATTTAAATTAATTTTTAAATATGCAATCAACCAAATCTTCTGAGTTATAATTACTGCATAATATTCCCACCAATACAACCCAGGGATGTCAAATATGTCAGATGAAATTCAGGCAGCCCTGGGAAAATTTTTGGTCTAATTAAAAAAATAAATAAAATGATACAAAATGTTTCACTGTAAAAAAGAAGCAATGTCTTAAATTTTTTTTCAATATGTCTATTTATTAATTTAAATTCGATATGTTTGAACCTAAGAGTGGGACTAATTTTAGTTTCATAAATTATTACCATTTTAGTATATATTGAATTTTAACACATATGCTAGTTTATTTGATAATTGATCAAAATCAAATGATTTTTTTTCTTATGTTAAAGAGAAAAAAACACAGAGCAAAGTCCCATATCCGGAATTGTAGGGACATCGGCAAGTCCGGAAAATAAAGTTTTCCGGATAAAAGTTATAAAGTAAACAATCATAAAAAATAACAATAAGACAATAATTAATGTCAATTTCAAACAACAATAAATAAATCCACATGGTTTGCATGATTGTGCAATTTTCACAACTTTAGTCACAGATTTCCACATGGTTTTTAAAATCTCGATATTTTAATATGCTTTTACCGCAAAACCGAGAATTTCGAAACATGCATTAATTTCTCAATCCATTCGATTGACAACAAGCATGGCTTTGAAGATCATTTTTCTGTAGTTATAAAAACGGATTTTCACTTGGTTTTTAAAATTTCAATGCTTTAATACGATATTATTTTGTTCGGCAAATTTTGAACCACGCATTTCACACTCAATTATTGATGATTCCCACTCAATTTCAAGAGGATTTACGATCGCACTTTTGTAACTTATTTCTACGGATTTTCAGTTTTTTAATGATGCATTATCATAGACTCGAAATTTCGAATCACGCATTTGTAGAATTACTTTTTGATGCACTCGATTTGTGACAATTTCATTATCGACCCGGTTTTGTCGACCGAATTTTCAACAGTTAGGAATTTCCATAGTTTTTAAAATTTTGACCAACGCTTCACGCTTTTGAATAATAATAACTCTCTTTAGTCGTGACTAAGTCGTCAAAATGCAAAGTTTTTGCACACACTGAAATTGAGCACATGATTCATGGTGGTAATAATCCCTTATGCGAGACATGAGAAAAAGTAAAATTTTTTTTTTTTGGGCTGTAGTGAAATGCCAAATTTCATTTACATGATATCCAATTCCCCCCAGATTATAGTGGAAATCAGATTAAAAGCGGTAAAAATCATAAAGAAGCGGAAAAGTGGAGGATTAACAGATGTCTGATTATCGGAACTATATAATAAATTTTAACAATATATAAACTTTAGGTTTTAAAAATATTATTGTAACTAAAAAAAAAACAAGTGTTTTGAGGAAATATTGAAGAATTTTTTGCACTTCTAATACATTTTAAGTAAATTTTTTTAAGTCACTGTTAGTTTATACAGAACTTTAAACATTTATTTAATGTTACTTTGATCCAGGAGTATAAAAAATAGAATTGGAAGCTACTATAAAAAATATATACATAATTTTTCGCATGCATTTCAAAATTTTATTTCAATAGGAAAAACTTAATACATAAAAAACTAAAGAAAATTTTAAATTTACCTCAAACGCAGTATCTTTAGCCCAGTCATACGGCAAATATTGCATTAAATTTGCAATAGGAGCTGTAAGTACTTTATGTATATAAAGTATTGCCCTTCTAACAAGAGGTTTGCCAGCTAAATTATCCCCCAATGATGGTTTCTCTAGGGACCTTGCACCAGCTAATGCAACCCAGTAAGTTCCTCGTTTGTTTCGGCTTATATTGTCAGGTTCTCCAGGAAATACAACAGGTAATACTGTTTTTGTTCCTTTCTTTGGTCCCTGGATGAAGTACCTGAAACAAAATTACAAATTAAATTTTGTAAAAAAGTTTAAACTCAATTGCATGTTATAAGTATAAATTTAATTAAAATTATGGGAGATTTTGATAAGATTTTTTTTTCCAAATCGAAATTGTTAAGATATAAAGAGTTAATACAATATTAAAAAAAAATTAATAATTTTGACTCTTTAAAAAAACTCCCAATAAAAAAATTAAGACGAACTTAATAAATAAATAAATTATTTTGTTCAGTGGAAAAAATTTAATTTAAAAACATATAAAAAATTTAATTGAATAGAAAAAAAAAACTTACTTGAATATTGAATTCTTAAAGCATTCAGCAACAAGAACAGCTGACCCGTCATGAGTTAATTCAACACCATTAGGAAATGATAGATCTTTAAGAAGAACTGTAACTCCTTTGGTTTTCAGATCGAATTTAAGAAGTCTAAAGAGATAAAGGAAAGAGTTATGAAATTCCAAATTTATTTTATAATTACCTTTAAAACAATTTAAATGAAATAGTTTAACACAACAATTAGCAGTTAAAATATTTAAAAGTTAAGCTCGTGAATAAAATAAAATATAATGTGGTTATCTCAACTTTGGAAGAAACTTTTCAACCATGACATGCATATATTATACACTAGTAAGACAGTATTCTCTAGATATCAGATACTTTTGACAGAAAGTTTTCACAGGATGTTATGTTTTACTTTTAAGTTCGCCTTTATTTTTAAGCAACCTGCAAACTTTTGTTAGTGGCAAAACTACACCATTTATAAAGCATAGTTGATGATTTTAAAACCACAATAGCAAAAAATGTTGTGGGGAGTTGATTCTCAGCATTCCATTGAAAGCATCTTTGATAATACCTAATTAGGAGTAGTAAATGCTTTTTAAAAGAAAAAAATACTTAAGTAGAAATGAGTGCTCAGTTTTATTTTTAGAAAGACCATTAAATACTTCTTTTATAACACCTATTATGATGAAGCTAATGCATATTTAGAAATCCTAGTATAAGCAGAATAGTGAGCTATATGTTGGCTTATTTATTATGCCTTATATTGCTTAAACAATTGACAACAAACCTTATATCCTTTTTATGAAATGAAATTATCTAATCTTCTATTGAATAATTTATGAAAATAAATAATTTATCAGCTTAATAGATTGGTCATTTCCTTAGAAATGAAACAGCATTCTTAAACATTAATATCTTAACTTTGCTAAGAGTTAATTTTTAATCTCTGTTTATTTCTAAACAATAAAAATTTAGAAAAATACAGGAGTAATGATCAAAAAACGCTGTCAGATGTTCAAAAAACAACATCTTATAAATTTAATAAAATATAAATTTGCAAAAAATTTATTATATTTTATTATAAAAATTTATTTTTAATAGCGTACAAATACGAAAAACGAGATCTGATATTACAACTGCGTGATAACGAATCGCAATATTGGATTTAAAAATGCGTGAATACGAATGGCAACGTTGGATTTTAAACTCGCGAGAATACAGATCGCGATATTGAATTTTTAAATTGAGTGAATAGGAATTGCTAGTACGATTTTTAAACAGCGTAAAAAAATCGCAACACATAAGTTTTAAATCAGTTAAACACGAAAATCGATGATTGATATTAAAATCGTCTGATTAAAAATCGCGATTTTAGCATATTCCAGCGCAGTTCCTAATATTTAAAATTCCGAAAATCAGCCAAACGAAAAAAAAATCAAATATCGGTGGTTGAAACGAAACGCTTAGACTCCTTTCCACTCTATAGCGGAAGTCGCGGGAATCCGACTATCGTTCAGGCGGCTTGGGTTTCTTTAATTGGACTCCCTAAAAATTTTAGTTTTTGGAACATGGTCGAAAATTTTAAAAATTGGGAGAAAAAAGCGGTTTTCCGCTTTTTTTGCGGAAGTCTTTCATCCCGTGGAGACGTGAACGGCAAAATGATCTCCAATGACTCACGGCGATGCGGATTAATATTTGAAACTGAATTCAGGTTTGCCAAATTTTGGACGTTTTGTCTCAGAATGGCGCAGCTTTGGCAGAAACTGAGCTGATTGTCGCAGTTATGCCGTTTTGTCTCAGTTTGTCGCAAACCGCGCAGGCGTAGCATCCCTGTTATCTTAAAAAGAAAAAACGATGAAGTAATACACTAATGAATATTTCCAAAATGATGGTAAGGTAAACATCTCTCAAAATAGATTTAATTTAATTTAGAAATTTCTTTTATCAAGAGAAGAATTTTAATAAGAAGTTAATACTGTGCATACTACTTAAACTTATTGTCCAGTAAATAGAGTTAAGATTACATTAATTTGAGAGAGTATTGCAAAAACATTTGTTTAGATTCCTTACGATAGTATATTTAATAAGAATATTTATTCATGAAATGCCACAAATGATAAATAAAAGCAAAGATAGAAAAGTGATAAAGCACTACTTTCAAAATTTCCCAACTTTCAATTTCTTAAGCTCACGTAATCTACCATATTAAAACATATTTCAATTGCTTAAAATGCAAGATTTATCCCATGTTATAAATCAATTAACTAAAGCAAGATAGAATTTTTTCAAAATCTGGAAAATTTTAATTCGTAACATTAAAATTTTACAGAATAAGTCTTGCAAGCTACGTAATATTAATAAATCTTGCTAAGTTGATTATAAGGTTTTTGAAATTTTTTTACAACAAGTTACAACATTTCCTTGTTAAAACATAAATCCTACGTTTTCTATGTTTCAAAAAATTGTTTTAACTATTATAACATAGCAATTCAAATATATGTATACAAAATTTATTTTAGAGGCAAATATTTAAGGTTTAAAATAGTTAGATTTTCTGAAAAATTTTTCAACTTTAATTACTATTTTACTACCACTATGTAAATTGCTTCCCAATAAACATACAAATTGACAAATAAGAAGAGACAATTTGTACCAGTGGGTAAGGACATGTAACATTGATGTACTACACACATTGATGTACTACAATTTGCGACACTGCAAATTCAACTTTGTATAATTTTAGAAATACATAAGTCGGCAAATAAATCAAGTCAAATAAAAATATAAACAAGACTAAAATATCAGCCAAATACAAATGAGGACACAAAGGTAAAACACAGATGTAGAAAACATACCGCCCAGATGATTCATGTTCCATAAAGCTAACAATAACATGACTTAAGTTCCATTTGGTAGAAGATTGACTAATGTAAAGGGCCTGTTCTTTTTCATCTAAAGCAATATTATTTAGAAGAAACAAAGGCAAACCATCTACAACAGTTTTTGAGGGCAAGATGTTATTTTTCTTTCCTGAAAAATAGAATTAATAACTTTTTATGATGGCATTAAATTGGAATTATTTTTAAGTTAGCTACTAATTAAGGCAAAAGAAAAAATTGTTCTCTAGCCAAATTTAACTTGAAAATAAATAATTTTTTGGGGGAAATAATGGAAGATAAAGAATTTTAAGGAAAGAGATGGTGCGTACACTAATAATTTATACAATATTTGAAGTTATACTTTTATGAATTGCCAGTTATGATAAGTAAGATATTCTCAATAAAAAATTTTATTTCAAAAAGCACCCCCATATAAAGTAAAACACACCCATAATAGCTTGTTATCAGTCAATGCAGATCAAATGAGGTTAGCGGTTTACAATGAAGCATAATGAAGGCAATGAATAGTTTACTATCCCCTGGGCATATTTAAGTAGGTATTCAATAATTGATTACCAATGTATCAATAATTATATTTTTTTAAACATTCAACACATTCTTATTCAACACATGTTGTAAAAAACCTTCCATTTTGACACGTGTTGAATAAGCACGCTTTATTTAAGAAACGCATCTTAGCATGCTAGTTAATATTAAAACATAGTAGTAACAAACAGTTTTTAAAAACATGCTTTTACGCAGAGATTAAAAACAATTAAATTTTAATTATTACAGAGCATTTAATGCATTTTAAAAACAACAAACATTTATCTCTTTACACAAACATTGTAAATGTCCTACAATAGCTGAAAATATCAACATCTTAATTAAAAAGAGTGAAAAACATGAATTCTAAAAAATTTTAATTAAAAAAAAGTCTTAGAATTAGCCATAATTATTTTTTTTTTACACCGTGGAATTATATTTTAATAGCTCAGACTGTAAGTACAACTAAAACTTTCTTTCTTCACAACAATTTTAAGAACATATAGGAAGAATTTTGGATTAGTTTTTAAATGTTTTTTTTTTATTTGACAAAGTTTAAGTTAATAAGTAAAAAGAGGCAGTATTTTTCACCCCTTTGAAAATAAAGTACTTTAAACTTGATGCACTAGATACTTTTTTATAAATAATTTTAAGCAAGAAATATATCTGGTATTACAAAAAGTTAACATCTCTTGAAAATATTCATAGTAAATTATGTTAATATAATTGAATTCAAACTACTTAATTAAACATAAATAAAATTATTTGAACAAATCACGTTTCATAAAGCATTTAATTAAAAAAAGGTCCAATTTCTATCTAAATGGATAATATTTTAATTTAATGAAAAAATATAAAGTCAAAATAATAAAAATGTAATCTACCTGTTTTCACATCAACAGTAAAAATACCATGATATGCATCTGCAACATAAAGCAAACCAGCTTTATTGAATGTCATCCCAAGTGGACGACCACAGATATGCTCTTCATGCTGCCCAGCTATTTTAGGGGAAAAAAAAATCATTTAAAGATAACAGCCATCAATGAAAAAAATCTTACACAAATTTTATTCAAAAGCAATAAAAATATTAATTTTATAAACTATATTTAATATTATAAAATATGTATATATGTATAAATGCAATATATGTATAAAATATGTTTTATAATATATGTATATATTATAAAACCTCACCAAATTAACAATATACCTGTAAGTACTTACATTATTATTTGTTTACTAACTTTATTTAGTGTACTAGGTGTTTAGTTTGCTTTTAATAAGCACAGTCGAACCACCACTTTTAGAGAATTATCTATAAAACCAGCAATATGCCCACGATATCCAAATTCCTTGAAAAATTTTTTTTAAGCATATGACATTCTGCTAAATAATATGCTAAAAAATGTAACTTATCTATGGTAAAAAAATATTTTTCAAGAAATTTGGATATGTTGAACTATAAATATATTGCTAGGTTTGTACATGGCTTTATTTTATTTAAGTAATTCAACATTAAAAACAAAATTTAAAAAAAAAAAAAAAAAAAAAGACCTAAACACTGGGTACACTAAAAAGTTTGCAAACATTCAAAAAGTTGCAGCAAACACTAAAAAGTTGCAAACAAAAGTTAACAAAATAAGCTTTTAAATACAGGGATGATATTAGCCAAAAGGCAAAAAAGCTGAATTTCCACGATTGTAAATTTTACGCAAGCGCAACGCTTTAATAATAAATTCCAGACAGTTTAAGGTAATAACTAATGTGTAATACTAATGTGTAATTGACATACAATTGTGTACTAATCTATTGTTATATAAATGATTACATTGATACTTAACATTTAGTAAAAATAAAAATTACCAATTGAAAAAATAAAGCTGGAAATTATATTTTTCCTCAGCTCACATACGAGACAATTATTACTTGAAAAACTACCTGGTTTAGCAAATTAAAACTACTGAGAATATACATTAATATTTCATTTCTTTTAATAAATACTGTTATGTGATTTATTAAAAATATATCAGTAATATTACTTTTTAAATTATATTGGAAAAAAAAACTTTAACAATGGACCGAATCATTATGTTCATATTATAGTCTAATCTAACTAGAGCCCTTTGAAGCATATCAATAACAGTGAAGTAGAAATATATAGTAACTCCTTAACATACAGAAATTGCTATTTTAGTTTGAAAAATTACATGACAATCAG